GCCGCCGCTGCCGCCGCGAACGCAGCGAACGCCGCCGACGCCGCTGGGCGCGGCGCGCTAGCACTCGCGGCGCGGCTGCTGCCAGAGGGCCCAGGGCCGGGGGCGCTGCCCGGCAAGCTCGCGGCGCTGCGTGCGCTGCTCTCCGCGGGCGCCGACGTCAACGCCGCGGACGCGCGCGACGCGACGCCGTTGATGCACGCCGCAGGCGCGGGGTGCGACAGGGCCGTGCTGGCGCTGCTGCTGTCGGCGGGCGCCAACCCGCGGCTGGTGAGTGGCTGGGTCGCGGGGCGCGGCGGGGTGGGGAGGGCGCGTGGGGGCGCTGTCCCTGGCGCCGGCGGTTTGGGGGATGAGGGGGCTGGCCTTTGGGGGAAGGCCAGGGTCTGGTCGACCCAGCTGCACTGTGTCGCTGGGGCTTCCTTATGCACACCCCGGGCCAGCGCGCCGCGTTGCAGGAGGACAGTGCCCGAAGCTGCAGCCGCTGCAGCCACATTCACCGAAAACGAGAACAAAGGGCTACGCCCACCGTCGGCGCCCCACCCCTTCAACCCCGCCTTGTCTCTTTGTCCGCAGATGGACGACGAGAGGCGCTCCGCGCTGACCTTCGCTGTCGTCGCGCAGCGCCTGCAGCCGCTTCCGCGCGTCGACGCAGCCGGCCGCGCCCCGCGCCACCCCCGGGACTCCCCGTCGCCTCCGCCCCCTGCTGCCCCCGCCCCCGACGGCGCGCACGGCGTGGACGGCGCCGCCGCGGGCGGCGCGCTGCAGACGCACGGCGGCGTGCTGCGGGTGCTGCTGTCATACGGCGCCCTCGACCTGCACCCCGCCTCCATCAACACGCGCTACCCCGGCCTCGACGGCCGCGGCCAGCTGCACGTCGCCGTGCGCCGCGGCGACGCGCGCGCGGCCGAGGTGCTGCTCGCGTCGGGCGCGGACGCGGGCGCGCGGGACGGGGCGCACGGCAACGCGCCGCTGCACTACTGGGGTATCCCGCTCGCGTGGGACGCGGACGCGGCGCATGAGATAGTCGAGGCGCTGCTGCACCACGTGAGATCTCGCGCGTGCTGAGGTTGCTCGCCGCGCCGCGCGTCCGAGGTTGGGATTTGGGGCGTGGGGTGTGTCGCCGAGGCTGGGGGCAACGCAGAAGGAGGCAGCGGGGGCGTCACGGAGAGGGGGCGGGCTGTCAGGCGCCGGGCGCGCGCAGCCGCGCCGACGCCGCCAGCCCTTTTTTTTTTACTCGCCTCTGCGACGCCTCAAACATAAGCCGCCTTGCCTGACCCCCAAGACGCCGCCCGCGCCCGCTCGATCCCAAATGCAATCCTACTGCCAGGGGGCCGACCCCAACGCGCGCAACGCGGCCGGGCTGCAGCCCCTGGACCTCGCCTGCCTCAGCAGCCACGACCCCTCCGCCCCCGGGCCGCGCCTCGACGCGGCCGCGGCTGCCGCGGCGGCGTCGGGCGCCCCGGCGGTGGCGCCGCGGTGCGTGCCGATCCATGCTCTGCTGGTGGCGCACGGGGCCGAGCACAGCCGGCGCTTCAGGTGGGTCGGGGCGGCCCTCGCTCGGGGCCGCGGTCAGGGGCGCCGCGGCGCCGCGGCGCTGCGGCTTGCGGTCGTGGCGGGCGTGGCGACACGCGGTCCTGCCTGGCATTCATCCAACTGTGCAGCCCCCCATGCGAGCGCGCGCACCCATCGCGCCTTGCTCACCCTGTCCCCGCCTCCCCCTTCCCCTGCACGACGACGTGCTGAACGCCGGCAGGGAGGCGCCGACCATCGTTCGCACCAAGAGCCTCTCGAGCGTGCTGTTCGCGACTGCCAGCTTTGGCAGCATCCACGGCACGCGCTCCAACCCCCGCGCCGCGCCGCCGGGCGCGGGCCTGCCGCCGCGCGCGCCGGCTCGCGACGCAGTAAGCGCCCCCGGTGCCCGCGGGGCGTGGTGAACTCGGTACCGCTGGGCCTGGACGCTGCTCTCAGAGGGGCCGCCGTGCGCCAGGGCGTGGACTGTCCTTTCCGCTTCCGCCAAGCGCCGCATTCGGTCTCAATTGAGCACTTGACTTAAGATGATCATTTTTTTTCTGAGTTTCAATCACCGTCTGAATTCAAAACCATGGTCTCTGCGGCGCCTTGGACCAAACATGGGATGTGCATCTCCCTGTATGTTCTTGCTGTTTGCAATTGACCCCTGCACAACACAAAGCAGCCGTGGCGCCTCCGGCGGCAGCATCGATCACTGCGCACGCCTGCGACTGCAGCACCACCACCAATGTTTGCAGGCTGGGTTGGCCAGTGGTTGCGTCGGGCACGCCTCACTTTCAGTTGCACAACGGGCCGGCAAATGCCACCTGCTCATCGTGCATTTTGCAATCAAGCGCGTTGCCATCTTCGTATCGATGCGTGGAGCGTTTCGCCCTTTGAGCCCGCATGGCGCAACAGCGGCGATCACCACGGGACCGGGACTGACGGCCCCAGGGCGGCGCTGCTCCGCAGTTTTTTACAACCACAATCACTTCAATGTTTTTGCACGGACATACTTGCGCGGCTTGCCAAGAGGCCCCGCTGTGAGGCCACTCACCGGGGTGCGGCTGGCACGCTGCGCCTTGCTCGACAGCCCCGCCGTCACCTGCTCTCAGTCGCAGGCTGGCCCCTGATGCACATGTGACGTCATCATGACGTCATGGCTCGTCCCACAGGGACCGGCCGCAAGGGGGGCCGCCCCAGCGCGCCGCCGGCGTGTGTTTGGACGGCGTGCCAGACAGGGGTGTGTTGCTTGGACCCTTTGTTTGTTTTTCATGATGACTGAGGACGTGCGTGTCGCACAGGGGAGGGGGCACCAGGCGACCTTCCTTTTTCCGGCGGCGGCGCAACTGTGAAAACATGCGCTCTCGCCATGACAAGGGCATGACTGCCCCATCGTCCTGGACTAGAGGCCGCGCGCCAGGGCTCACAGTGGCAACCACTGTGGATCCCGCCCACCGTGGGCCATTTCACTGTGCAAATGATGGCACGTTTTGTCAAGCGGTGTAGCATTGGTTGCAACCGCCCACGCTCGCCCTCGCCGGATGGTTGCATGCGCAAGGCTGGAGTTGGTGCACGCAAGCGGGTTTGGATGCCGCCTCGCATGATGCTTGGGGGCCATGTGCGCAGACAGTTAAGCACGCACACAATTTTTTTGTGGACACCCAAATCTTTTACGCCAGGGCCTTGCCTCTGCATCTTTCGGCCCATTGGTCCCTGCACCTTGCTACTGCTGGCTGCCAACAGGCAAGGCGCTGCCATCATGCATGCACATGCACTTGAAGCCGACCCCCCGTGAAGGCTGTCTGCGCTTGGTTCGCTGTTCGCGCAGCCGCTGCGCGCCACCACACCAGAAGCAGCTGGGTCTTGCTGCAGCCCGCCTGTCCGCCCGGCCTTTTTTCCAGCCCTTGTCCGCTGTCAGAGCGTTCAAACAATCCAGCTATGCCTTAAATTGCCTGTGAACCGGGCCCAGCCACAGCCCCTTCTTTTGTGCATGTGTCTGCTACATGCCAGGGCCGAATGCCGCCTTTGGAGGGGCCTCACAGCGCTGGGCTGTAACTGCAGTAACTTGTGGACACGCGCAGGCGGCACCACTGGGACCCCAGGCGGGCGAAGGTTCTCATGCCAGCGAGCTGCCAAATCACGGCTGAGAACAATGCGCCCCCTCTTCCCCGTGTCAGCGAGCCGCTCGCTGGGCCCGGGGCGCGGTTACTCCACGCGAGGTGCATGTAAGTGAGGCAGGGAGCGTGAGCCGCACGTTAGACACGCGCGCGCGCGGGCCAACCCGGTTGGCTGCGCCGGGCTTGCCCAGGGTGTGGGCACGTGATGCTGTGGGAGGACGGATCGAGAGCAAACAAGGGGGCCGGAATCGACCGCAACAAAACCTATGTGCCGACCACGACTGATAGCAAATGTATGTTGGCCGAGCACGACCGACAGCAACGTTGTTGGGCGCTCGTGGGCGCTGCCAACGGTCGGCAACCACCGCCAACCATGAGCCAAGGGTTGACGCGCTCACGGGCACAAAATCACCGACAGCAGTGCGGACGGAGCGCGTCGAATCGTGCCACACAGCTCGGCACTCGGCAGTGCTGTGTCAGCAACCAAGCCAAATTTTCGTTGAAATTGCGCACTTCATGGTTGCACAGCTGCGGCAGAGAAACGAAGCTGACCTCCTCTGCGCCAGCGCTGTGCCTTGCGCCCAGTGGAGCAGCAGGCCCAAGGTCCCCGGAGCCAAGACGCTGTGCGCGCCCCAAACGTGCATCTGCTCGCCTCGAAGGACCCTCTGCCGCCGCGTCTCGCCAGCTCTTTGACGCTGCCGCAATGCACCTCTGCTGACCCTTTTTGATGGTGCTGGTTGGGGGCAGCCGCCGGTGCCGCCGCCGCTGCTGGCTCTGCTGCTGCTGCTGCTGCTGCTGCTGCTGCTCCTCCTGCGCGCCAACAGCCAACCTCGAGCCTCCCCTGACCCCCGCCTGTCAGGCGCCGCCGCTCGCCCCTGCAGACCACCCCGCGGCCCCGCGCGCGCCAGCACCCGCACGTGCCGCCGGCCCTCGCGCCCGCAGGACCTTCAAAATCGCCGCCCTCACCCTGAGCCCTGAGGACACCGCGCGCGGCAGGCGCTAGCTGCCCCCAAGCAGCGCCTCGAGCGCCGCGTTCTCGTCGCCGCCCGCGGCTGCAAGGGCCTTCTCCGCGTCGTCGCGGCCGAAGCCCATTTCTGTGATGCGCGCCAGCCTGGCCTGGTGGTCGCCGGCGTCAGGGTTGGCAAAGGCCTCGGTCCAGTAGCTGGGGTGAGGGGGGGAGGGGAGGGGTGCAGCGGAGGTTGGGGTGGCGTTGGGTGGAGATGGGGTGGGGCGGGTTGGGGAGAGGTGAGGGCGAGCGGTCTGGTGGTGTGAGAGCGGGTGGCTACGACTCATCTGCGCCGCCCAGCGCTGGCGCAGGGGCGTTCCCCGCCCTCTCCTGCCCCGCTCCACAACCCAGTCGCCACTGCACTCATAGCAGCTGGGCTGCTATTACAACGCCCACATGCATGTGCGCATGCGCAAACCTAACTTTGCCCCCACACCCGCTGCAGCCCTGCCAACCCCGTCTCTTGCTAACCCCTGCACGCCCCGCCCCTTAAAGCCCCACCCCTTCAAACATGGCCTGCTGCACCTCCCACCCCTCCGCGCCCCTGCTCACCGCGCCGTCTTCTGGAATGTGGGGTACTCTGAGAGGTACTGCCGCGCCACAACAGCGTCCTGGGGGTCGTCGGGCTGCGGGCTAGACAGCAGCGCCTGGGCCCGGGCGGAATAAGGGCGGACATGGTGAGAAAGGCTGTGAGAGACTGGCTGCGCGGAACGGGCAAAGGACGCCGCCCGCGGCTGGGCGGGGGCTGGCAGGTGCGCCACGGGGCGCCACGCACGGCCCCGGCA